AAGCGCGCGCTCAGAGGCAGCAACCCAGCTTCACCTTGCAACTGGCATGGGCAGACCATCAGAGGCACCCCCCACTTTTCCTTGCTATAAGCCCTTAGACAGGCATGCACTCATCACCATACCCTTTTTTTTCCTCTGCCACGTCAATTTCTTCACATTTTCCCACGCCAGCATTGCGCGTCTTCCTTTCTTTTTCTTCACATTACTTTCACCATGCCTACAGTCACTTTCGACAAGCTCACTGACAACAACTACTCCAGCTGGGCTATGTACATGGAGGCACACCTGACCAAGCAGGATTTGTGGGAGGTGGTATCAGGACATTCTAGGAGACCTACTGGAAGTCCGAACTCAAAGGTAGTCCTGGCCTGGGAGAAGAAGCACCGCTTGGCAGCCGCTGAGATTCTTCTAAACGTGTCTACAAAATATATTGCACACTGCAATAATTCCGATGCTCCAGGGACATGGAGCAAGCTCAAGCTGATATTCCAGTCTGAAGGCCGCAGCACTGTCATGTCGCTCCGTCGCCAGTTTTATTCGATGGTTTATGAACCTGACTTGACCATGCGTGAATGGATCACAAGGGTTGAAGATTCAGCTCGCCATCTAGCTGAGATTGGCTCACCCATAATCCCCATCGACATCATTAACACATTGATCCGCCAACTCCCTGAATCATATGCCCCGCTTATCGTCCATTTTGACACGGTGTTTGGAGACCCAAGTCAGATTTCAACTCCAGACCCGGTGCAATATGTTATCATGCGACTCTTAAACGAGGAGGTCCGACAGTCCGAGTATCAGACATTGGATGGACCGAAGGCACTTATGGTCCGTTCAAAGGAGCCACGGAGGAACCACAACACCTGTTACAATTGCGGTGACTCAGGACACCTTAGACCTGATTGCAAACTCAGCCCCTATGAAGTCCGAGTTAGACATGAGCAAAAGCTGGGGAACACAAAGGCAAAGGTTGAGGAACAAGTGAACTTAGTGGACACTGTTGAGTTGGATGATTCCGGGATTGAAACTTTTGTAGGCTATTAGCCATCTATCCTTCAGTTCTTTTCTTTTCTTCCTTTGGTTATTACATGTTTTACTTGCTTGAGAGGGTGTGTTGGAGATCAAGCACGAAATCATGTATTTACAATTATTTACTCCGAAAATATACCTTAGCGGTCTACTGTCATCTTGTCCGACCCCGGCCCTGGAACTGCCATAACCCTATATTTTCTAGATGATTTAGTTTCTCTATTTCATTAATTCTTTTTGTTAGGTTTTGGACTTGGACCTGGGTCATCTCGGCAAGGGTCTCATCCGCGGATGTTAGTCTCAGCATGGCCTTGTCGCGTCTGTGCGTGAGGCACCTCATTTCGGAGTTGAGTTTGCCAGCTTTTACTTTTGCAGTCTTTCTGGCTAGGTGGGTCACAGCGGATACGAATTCATGGAAGGTGTTTTGTATGTTATTGTTTCTGACCATTTTGTTGAGGGCCTCGTTGCCGATGGCTTCGACTTCTTTTAGGAAGATTTGGTCATTGGTTAAGTATAGAGGGATGGCCCATCGCCCTTTCCCGATTGCGGTTGCGCGGTCATCCCTTAATTCGATGGAGACAAGTTGATGGTCAGCTGTAGGTAGGCCGGGATTTGTTATTTCCCATGTGTAGGCTCTATTTCTTATGGAATCATTTGCATATATTCTGTCTAGTCTGGAGAGGGACGCCCCTGTAGCATGGCCGAAGGTGAAGTTTCTTTCGGGGGCTGGGTGTGATTCTCTCCATCCATCCGTGAGGCCGTTGAGGGAGGTGAGGTCATGGAGGGCGGTCACTGTGGAATCCGGGTCAGGGTGGGGGGGAAGTCTGTCCATGGCTTCTTCTACCATATTGAAGTCCCCGAGCATAATGTCTACAGGGGTGTTGTTAAGTTCCTGGCGGATGTCCTTCCAGAATTGGGAGTTGTCATTCTGGGGGTTGGGGGCATATATGGCTAGGATTTTGGTGGGGATATTTGGTGGCCATTCTACTTCTATGAGGAGTGCACGGCCCGGGATGATGTCCTTTACCAATCTGGGACTAGTTTTTATTATACTTTTGTTAATGATTATGGCTACTCCACCCGCACGGGTGTGTTCTGAGTTGTAGGAGTGGATGATTGACCACTCGGTACTGTAGATGTTGTTTAGGTGGTTTTGCTGTAGCTGGTCGGAGTGTGTTTCTGAGAGGCACATGATGCCGAATCTCTCCTGTTTCATTTTTCGTGTGATTGTTGTCCATTTGTACTTGGTCGAGGGGCTGTTGGCACCTTTGATGTTTAGGGCACCTATCTTTAGACTGGGGGAGTGGTTTTGGGGGGTAGGGTCGCCACCCCTCAAGCGGAGGACTTTATGTTTCTTTATATTGGGGGGGTGTCCGTTTTCCAGGACTTGGCAGCCATCATTGGGCATTGGCAAAACGGGATAAGCTTCCTGCCCTCCGGGAGCCAAGGGCGCAGAGTCATAAACCGGTTTAGAGTATTCCGTGGGATTGGGCTTTGTGGTTGTGTATATTTCTGTGGCATTTAAGATGGTCCTCTCACGGGTTGCCGGCCCTTGTGGGAGGGTTGGTTGGGTGGATGGGTTGGTGCCGGGCTTTCCTGTTGCCCGTGGGCCCAGTATATTTGGGCCCGGCACTAGGTCTAGAGTGTTAGTTTCAAAATAGGTCATGAGGCATTAGATTATATTTTTTTTTAACTATTTCCGGCACGGTTCTACAGAGGGTGGGAGGTATTTAGGGTTTTTTGGAATTACCTCGGCCGCCTCTGGGTCTGAACATATTCTCTTTCCTGTTGGGAGGGCCTCTGTGTGCGGTGCGTGGTGTTTCGGCATTTTCCATTTTTTCTGTCTGGGGGTTAAGCTCGCGCCAGGAGGCGTGGTCATGGATAGGGCAAAGCCAGAAGCTGTGGTCTATACCTTTACATGTATGGCACATGATGTTTCCTTGAATGGCTCTACCTTCGCCCATCCAGTCGTGAGGGAAGGTGGTTGTCCTGAAGAGACCAAGCCATAAATCATGGGGGGAAGCAAGGACACCTGGTGCGAGGTCTGGGACTGAGAAGAAGGGGGAGGGGATGTGGATTTCCCATACTTTGATCTGCGAGTTCGAGGTTGGGTTTCTTTTCGCGGAGGGGTTTTCCCGATTAGTACGGGTGGCAGCTTCATATCCCCTGGGGATAGCTACACATCTGTCTGTGATGGCCTTGATTTCGTGTTCGGGGATGTTGTATTTCTTGAAGAAGGTACGGAATTCGGAGTCTGGGTTAGCAATCTGGGCCGTGATAGCTTCTTGGACTTGGTCCGCTTCGTCAAGATTGGCTCCGATGTTACGGATGGTGACCACATAGCTGGTTGGGCTATAGGTCAAGAGGTTGATGGCTATAAAGCCGATGGCACGAGAGAGCCAGAGGTGTTTTGTGACAAGGAGGTGGGCTTGCATCGGGTGGAGACCACCAACAAAGAAGCCCCAGGGGGCACTTTGACCTTCTTTGTTGGCAACAGGGGGAATGACGCGTAGGGTCTGGGCCGATTGTGGAAACGCCCTTTTTAGGAAGGTTGTGAGATCATTACGGATGGAGTGGAACTTTTCAGAGTTATAGTGGGCGTCTAGGGGGAGCGCTAGGATCGCACCGGGGTCGGATTGCCATTTCTGGAGGCGGTCCTCACGGATGTTGCTTAGAATTTTCGCTGGTCGGACACCGTGGGCTCTGAAGTTTTCGAGTTCTCCCTCAAGGTCTATGTAGTTGTAAGATTCTAGGCCGTCTTTTGGACGAAGGGGGGAGTTTAGGGGTAGGCTTTGGGCGTCGGCAATGGCTGGGGCTCTGGTTGGACGCTCCGGGGTGGTAGGGGTTACAGCCACGTCATTTTCCTCTTCGAGGTTGGGCCTGAAGGTTGACGGAATGGGCCAGGGAGCAAATCTGGGGGGGCCAGTGGGGGGGCGGCCTTTTCCGACCTTTGGCCCGGCTTGCAGGCGCAGGGGTTCGAGGTCCGCCACGTGGGAGTCAAAGAGCAGGGAGCTCGGGGTGGGTTTCCTCCACTGAGGGAGGGGGGGGGGCTGGGTTGGGCCCTCAAGGTCAGCGGAGCCGGGCGATCTGAGGCGTTTTAAATTTTCGAGGTTGCTGTTGGATAGGGCTTCCGGCCTCGGGGGTGTTTCTGGCGTGGTAACAGTGCGCTCGGCAATGTGGGGGGTGTGGACCTTATTAGCAGAGGCGTTGGTCGGCGAGTTTTCGACCATGGTGTCGTCCTCCCCGTGGGTGGTCAGTAGATGGGGGCTTTCAGGGTCTGGGGGTTGACGGTCAGTTTGTTTGTTTGTGTGGGTTCGGACATAGGAGGCGGCCTTAGGCCTGGGGACATTTAGCCGCCAGGGGTGCAGCCGGTTTCTTGGTTGGGAAGGGGTTAGAGAGTTACTTACCAGAGGGGTAAGTCTCCATGTTATTGGGACGAGGAAACTTCGAGGGAGTTTCTCGTGGTTCGACCGACCTAACTCCGTTTCGGAGTTACCCAGGTGCCGAGGGACATAACTCCAAGAAGGTATGTTCCGTTCAGACGCACCCGCCCTCCAGCACCTATTCGGCTCAGCCGTCTTCTGGTGACACCCTGGGGGGCCCAATGACGCGGCCAGGTGCTCGCCGTTGTCTGAGACATTGTTGGCGCCATTCCGGGCTTATTTACGTTTCTTAGAGTTTCATTCTTATGTGTATTTTGTGTGTGTTGTTTTAGTTCCGTGCTCACCCGGCCGTAGTTTAACGACTTTGCGGTCGCAAGGTGCGTTCTTTGATGAAGGATCGCCATTTTCGCCTGATCGGGTAACTCCGTGGTTGCCTGTCCAAAAGACGATCACTAGAGACAAGTCCCCTCTCTAACTTCACCTTCACAACTTTCCAGGGATGTGTCCAGCTCCCAAATCAGTTATCCTGTGCTGCATGTCGACAGTTGCATGTTGAGTGCCTGTCCTGCACAATCAAGATTCCCAATGCTGTTAGAGTACGTTTTCGCCAATGCAATAATGGTTCGTGTGGTGGACGAAGGCTGAGACTAACCCCATAGAAATCAACTGGGGCTCGGGAGTGTCTGGAGGAGGTCAAGACTCTGGCTTCCGGCGATCCTGGACGTGTTGAGGTAGGTACGTGACGGTTCTATTCTCTGCGTGTTCTCGTCCCATGCAAAGTTTATTCCGTTCCATAGTACTGCTCCCCAAGACGCGACAGTTTCTTTCATATTTGAAATCAAACCCCCTGGATACCGCAACTCAGCCTGTAGCTGACCCGATAGTCCCCACAACGACTACTATCTTTTCCCCAGCGGCTGTCTTGCCAAACGGAACTCACGAATGGGGGAACCGAGTGGATACTGTTTCGGCCTATGAGGTGTCCGCTGCACTCCCACCGGCAAACGATCTCGGGAACATGCCGGTCATTGATGAGGCCTCATTATCCACCTTCGGGTTATCTGGATATGTCGGAACCATTGATGAAGCGACCCTCTTACATGTTAGTTCCCTTCAGCCAACGACCACCAACCACGAGACGGCGGGAATTGGAATCTTCCGATGCCGGACAACTGGAATGACACTGCCAACCGTGGAAGTGCTGGACCTTCTGCAGCGACCTACCATGCCTCTTTAAATGAAACTCGTGCCGTGACTCTGGGTAATGGAGCAAATTGGGGCGAGGATACTGTAGACTGGCTGAGGGGACTGGCTTGGAGTATGGGATACTACCTCATCCCTCGCGGCGCTGCCATTCCCGGTGGTGCTCTTGTTTAGGAGCTTCACTTCATGTTTTTGAACGTTAGTGTCTTTCTTTTCTCTGTACAATCTGGTGATGATAAATTGTTGGCGTAGACTGATTGGTTTAGTTGTGTCATCATGAGTGGCTCCGTTACTTGGATATTCTGCACCACGTTGAATTTTCATGTGGAGCGAGGCTCGTGGTCTGGAATCCTCGCATCTTGATTTGGATTGTGGATGATGCATTCCCTTAGACCGAATAATGTTCCAAGCATTTGTGCTTGTCCACTCACGTTGTCCAGTCTGCAGATCAGGTCCTGGGCTGGCTATTGTATTGACTCGGCTTTTGTTCTTGGCTAGTGTGGCATCTCACTTCCTTTCTTGGTATTTTGAATACGCTGCAATTGAAAGCACTGTGCTATAAGCGTGAAAATCATTTCATCTGCATACACTTTCCCTCAGTTCGCCACGTGGAGCGATCGCCAACCTTGTATCTTTTGCGCAGCCTCACTGAGCTCGTCACCGCTGGGGATGCATGCATATGCATATACACCCACCTCGTATACAATAGCCGTTCAGTTCCTCTTGTGCAGTCATTCTCATCTCGTTGCTCCGTCTTGCAGCATATCGAACGTCCATCAATTTAGGCAACTTCCCCAATCGAACGTCCAGGTCACACCTACAGGCGCCATTTCCCGATACCCCACTCTCTAGGTGTCGATGTGTCACTTGACGGACACTGTCGCAATGTATGTCTCAGCGGTGGCTCTCGCAGGCGCGCGACTTGCCGTTAGCCACCCATACAACCACTGATCACGACGTGCGCGCCAGCCGCCGTAGAGAGCTTGAGTCTAGGCCATACTAGGCTCTTGGTATTCTGCGGATAACATGTGCATACACAATCTGGGAATGTCCTCCTCTGTATTGTAGACCACTGGCAGTTATGCTTAGATGGCGTATTCAGAGGGTCACTAGGTGTGCGCGGGCGCCGCGCCAATGATCATACAAACACGTTTGTGACATATCTCTAGAAATTATATATTGACTGCATGGCATCGCTTGTAAAGATTGCTTTTCAGATGACTTGGAAATCCACATTGATGTCGCTGGGTAATGGGCATGTGTTGACTTAGCACAGCTTCAGACGCGACGCGATGCGGAGTTCGAAGTCGTGCGGCTACTATCCGTCTCACCCTAAGATGCTATGCTGCTCCACCTGCCAGCTAATGTACGTCCAGCAACATGCATTAGACCCTCACCTCTGAGTTCCGAGTATCTTATCCAACCATGCCAGATGACCTCTTACTGCCAAGGGCGGATGCTTTTCCACCTTCACCGATTCTGGACGAATCCTGAATATATGGGAAGCCGTCAAGCAGAAGAACGCTTGACGGAATGAGCAGAGACTGTCAGGGGCAGCCATCCGAGGATTCCCGCTGTTCCGTACTATAGATATGCCCGAGCTTTTCCTGGGTAGAATGGTGTCGTTATCTTTGGGAGTCGCGCTGACACTATTTCTGAAAGGATCGGTTGCACACTAGCCTTTCCTGGGCGGGGATAATACAACGATCGCGAAAAGAGAGGGAGAGACTGCGGACAAAACGTTGATCATGAGGTCAGACTTGAGAGTAGACTGAGAAGTCGTGCGAGATGGCCTACATCTGTGCTCAATTTTAGGTCTGACTCTATGCTTTTAAACCAGCACAATCCTCCACCCCTACATTCTTTCAGTTGTGGGATCCTACCGCCCTTACTGGCCGGATTTCCATGTTGATGTGCATATATAATCTTCGAATGTTCATTGCCTACGTTCCAGTGAACGTGTGCACCCTACCATGTCTTAAATTGCCCTGCACACGATCCATAAACACCTTTTTTTTATAGCCGGCATAACTGACATATTTATCCACACACATGCGCATGCAGCGCTAGCGTGCGGCACTGAGGCTCGGGCTTGCAGTGGACGGGCCTTTCTTCATGGCTCAGATAGCATCCTAATATTGTCATTTGCCACCCAAACAACCCCACACATTTTGGGATTCCGAAGCCTCGACACAACCCCTTTCTTACCAGTCCTTATGATTGGATCATGTATGTCCCAGAACAGACACTGTCAGGTAGCATTGACTTTCAAAACAACCATATAGCGCTTCCCGTGAATTTGATGTGGCGAGCACTGCACGTTCGGGCATTGAATGTACGCAGAAGATGAAAATACTCCTGGAGGGCGAAAGGCCATTGCGTTCTTGCTTCCCCTAGGTAATACATATTCACAAGTGCACGATTGTGCAAGGCTGAACCAGAAGCGACAGACACAGGTAAGCCTCAACCCACCATGACTGCTCTACCGCCTTCAAATCCACCTTTACGGCCTAAGCACACTCCTAGTCATTCCAACCATCATTGTCCCCTGTGAGGTATAAATCAGTGCACCGTGAGTCCCTGATGCATCGTTTAGAACGTCCATTCGATCGATAGCGTTAGGAAACTGAATACAGGTTACGGAAGGGGTCTTTAGATTTGGACTCCGGAAGTGGCATCGGCAACCATTATAAACAAAGGTCGAGAAGTCGTGGCACCTGTATCATAGAGCCATCACTTCGATGTCCAAATGACCATACTTATGACACTCACTGCTGGATATCACGATGACTGTGCTCGTCAGCATAATCAACTGACCATCCTTGCAATGATTTGCGGGGCGCTCGGCAATGATCCCTAAATCGAATCCGCACATGTATACTGAGGTAAGCATTCTACAGACCCTGTGAAATTACGCCAGGGCGTATGCATTTTGCGCATTTTTCCCGATGAGATTCAGTGCTGATGTTTTTTTGCTACTTGATTCCGGTTCGGGCATAAAGACCTCAGGCTATCGCTGGTGGGAGCACCAAGGGTAGGGTGCCAGCTACCATGAGATGGTTCATGGTTAACGCTGAATTGAACATAGCATGTTCGAGCCAGCCTCACGTCAATGAGCCGAAAGAGATACAGACGCAAGGCGCTACCGACGAAACTCGTACTGCACACCTGGAGTGGCAACCTACAGAGGCTCCCAGATAGCTGGCTGAATATCAGTGTGGTTTTAGTGGGTTCAGTCACATGTCACAGCGAGACTTTGAACAGATAAATGTACTGACAACTGGTTCCCACGGAATCCGGGAGTTGCCGGAATCAGCAAATCAATTCAGTTTCAATTCAGTTCAATATTTTCACGTGATGTGTGGCGCATGTCACACTGAGGGATGAACTATGCAAGAAGGAGATGGCAATCCCCGAAAACCGTGGGAATGAACTTATGGTCGTTAATGATATTTCCAATTAAAAAATCAGAAATTCCCGCTACTCCGTAGCGGGTCCTGTAAATTTAGGCCCCACTCTGTGCACAGGGTCCTCTGTAACCTAGGGTCCTTCTTTCCCATTCTGACGATATGACGATATGATGATACAATTCCGGCTGATTCCGCTACAATGCAACTCACGCCACAACACCATCCACCTCACAATGCATCAGCACGTCCGAGTTCTCACTATGGCTTCTTCTGATTTCAGTGAGTCCCTCTGCATAGCTTCTGATCCGCTCTCTCAACTCCCACGCCATAGACCATCCATCTCATGCTACCTTTGCAACTCAACCACATCCGACAACTTCCTCTAACTTGAGTGAGTCTGTGTACATCTCTTCTCATGCACTCTTTGAACCATACATGCAGATTTGTGGTCATACTCATTTTTGAATGATGTGTTGGACCTTGATCCACCCACCATCAGTCATTATGCATACCTTCATGGTTTATATTCCACGTCATTAACGACCCATGACATGCGATTACATCTAATGCATCATATTCTGCATGCTCACTGCTACGGCTCTCTGTTTGATGGTTGTGTTGAAGAATGTAACCAGCTTCCGCCAATTGATGATCACCTCCAACGACTGCATGACTTCCTTCTCTCTCAATCTTTTGCCCATCCACACCAAACTTTAGTTGGTGCTGCTCTAGGTGTTCAATGTGCAAATGAATCCGTCAGTGGGGATCCACACTTCCTCCATGGCATCATTCGACGCTGTCAACAAATCCCCGCTGCATTTCCTGATGCATTGACAATTCTTCGTAATCTGGATCGAATAAATCATCAAGACTTAGTCGCTCTATGTTGATTCCACCATCTCCATCGTCACATCCCAAAAATTCTCAATCGTGTCCAATTACGCTCCATTGTGTTTGACCACATAGTCACCGACTCCCCCTGTGATTTTGGTCGTATCTCACACTTTGAACAACCTTCTCGTTCTCGATGTTGTCCACTGACACTCTCTCAGTCAGAACGTGCAAACCATTTAGCCCACTTTTTAACTCAAGTCACACGAGCTGATGTTCGTCAGGGCTGTCTCCGTTGTTTTATCCCTCACTTTCACTTACCCATTGATTTGCGTGCAGATATGCAATCTATCCGACACTGTCTGCTTCGTTTTGTTGCCGATCAATTCCCATCTTTCCACCCTTCTGACATGGATCCTTATCAAGAATGGCGTGTTCAATGTGCTGCTCGTTGGCCAGAAAAGCTCTCTTCTATGTCCAAGACGAACTTACTGAAACATTTTTACTCTCTTCTATCTTCATATCGTCTTACCAGTTTGGTTTGTGCGGTGTGTGGTGAGTCCAAATTCTTCAACCAAATGCTTCCTCAACCTGTAGATTTGAACAATTACGATTATCACTTACTCCACGGTGACTATCCCTCGAACGCTCCTCACCCTTTTCCTGATCATCCTCTGCTCCAACATATCATGTTATGTCCAGCCGGAGTCCCCTCCCATACCCAATCCATCCCGATGATCCGGATTTGCCACATCTGTCATCGATCTCTCAAGCGACATCGCCTACCACCTACATCTATCGCCAATGATCTTTACTTTGGGCCCATTCCGAATGAACTCTGTGAACTTTCTCTAGTTGAAGAAGCACTGATTGCTCGACGGCGTGCCAAAACATGGATCATACATCTGCAAGATGATGGATCTCCCATGTCTCACACTACAGGACCGAGCTCTTCATCCACACTCTCTACTGCTCAAAGGGCCCTTAAGGGTCATGTCATAGTCTTTCCTGCTCAACCGGAGTCTTTGTGTCAGGGACGCGTCCAGGGTGGAGGGGGCCCGGCTGTAGCGCCCGACGGAGGGACCCTCTCGGGGGACGAAGCGGGCGCGCGTACTGACGGGCCCGATCTGGGACTGTAGTCCCTGGCCACTTAGACTGAAGTGGAAAACATGAATTGTTATTAAAAGGAAGAACTACACTACTTACCTGAAGTGGAAAACGTGAGAAGAAGGTTACTTCTTCAGTTCCCACTTCAGGTACATTTATGTACATGCGGCTTGGGTCACATGACGGGTGCCACGTCATCTACGGAGAGGGCCGCAGCCATCCGGGTATCCCTGCGGGGGATCCTGAGGGCGTCCGCTGCGGGTGCGCACGCTGGGCATAGCGGGAAGTCGTCCAGGGTGTCCGAGCTGGACGGGTCAACAGTACAATGATACAAGGGAAGGTGGTCCATGTAAATAGAAAGAATAAACAGAAAGGGAGAGTGAAATAAAGGAGAAAGAGGAAAGAGGGAAGAGGGAGGAAGGATGGGTAGCAGGGAGCGGGTGAGCAGGTGAGCGGGTGAGGTGGGCCCAGGTGGGCCCGGGTGGAACCGGGTCAGGCGGGTGTGCCCTGACACTTTGTCCCCATTTTTGCCTCCTTCCCTTGAGGACGTCATCACTCCCATGTGTGTGGTATTTGTCGGCATCACCACTCCTTCCAAAGATTGGCTTTTAAACAATGCACGACCTCTGATCGTCCGATGGGAAAAAGTACGGGCTGCATTGCAATGGCTTCTTACTCACAATCCCCTGTACAGTGATGTCATTTTAGATGAGAAAGAATTGAACTGAATCCCATTGACTGATGTCACTCCTGTTCCCATCCACACCCAACCCCCCACTATGGCGACTCTGGCACCAGGCGCTCGATATGATAATGTTGAGATACCGCTCACAGAGGATCCGCTGACTGCAGTTTTGCAGAATGTGGTGGCCACAGATCTCGATATGCGTGATGCGAACACTGCTCAGATCACTGCTGCTGCTCTCAATCATCTAAAACGGTCCAACAGTGACATTGGAGCCCACATTCAAGTCAGACACGGCGCTGAACCCGTCAATCACTATTCGGATCCACACTTGTTACCATTGCTATATCCCACTTTATTTCCATATGGCATCGGTGGCTATCATCGGAATCGTCGTGCTTCTCTCAGTTTGGAAAAAATGGCCACTCATGTCTTTTCTTTAGCTGATCACAGATTTCAAGAGCATTACTCATTTTTATTTGTCATCTTCAACATCATTCAACGTCAGAGAACCTCCTTATACTGCAAACTTAAAACTTCTCAGGCCGCGTTTGATCGAGTGGCCACTGCAATCAATGCTGTGTCCGCAGACGCATTGAATTCCATTGCAGACCGTTTAACTCGTGGTGACTACTCCACAATGGATACGGCGGATGAACTCGCTGCGAGGAAACTACTCCAAGAGGTGTCTTTGGTCAGCACCAAAGTGCCCGGATCGCATGCTGCCTGCACCCAAATGCGAAATGAAATTCGTGCACTGATTTTTGACCACGGTCCCCCCAGTTTCTTTGTTACCATCAATCCCGCTGATGTGTACAATCCCATCGTTAAATTCTTATCTGGTGACCACTTTGACTTGGATGAAGCACTACCAACTAACATACCGTCATACTGGGATTGTCATATCCATGCATACCCGATCCTGACCCGACTCCCGGACCTCCTCCTTCCCCACCTCCGGAGTCATACCCTACAGCTGCCCGTTCCGATACTCACCTTTGGTCCTGGCAACACGCCTCCTTCTACCCCCCATGCCACCTCTACTCCTCCTTCCCTCTCCTCCCCTATCTCCATCCGCTCCAATACTCACCTCGGACCGAACACCACCCCTCTCGCCACCCTCCTACTACTCCTCCTCCTACTCCGCTCCTCCTTCACAACACCGCCACCCTTCCGTCACCCCCCTATGCCTCCCCCATCTGCTCTGATACTCACCTTTGGACCTGACTACTCTCCTTCCCGCCACTCCTTCTCTCTTACCTTTCTCCTCTCTCCTCTCTCTGGTACTCTTCTGCTGACCCCCCACCAAGTTACGACCTTCCACCACTGTTCTGTACTTCGTACTCGGGCACCGCTCGTATCTCTGCTCCGAGCCTCCGTCATAGTCCCTACCTCGGACTTTGACTCCACCTCGGTCTTAGTCCATTGCATTGGTGACCTCATACTACGTAAACACCATTGCCAATATTCCTCGGACTTTCAACCCCGCCTCCGTAACCTCCGTAAGCTCCGCAACCTCCGAGCTTCGCGGATCGCCTTCGGCCCTTTCGCCGCTTGTAATGTATCTTTCGCGTTTTCCCCTCATCCCTATTTGGACTGCTGCTTCTTCCCATTCTAGCCAGTTAGTCATCATCCCCACTTCTCCTCATCCTCCTGCCCCTCTGGGCCTCACCCTCCCTACCTCCTTTCGGACATATCACAGGTCCTGCCTTATGACCTTCAGTACCATTCCGCTTCTGTCTACCCTTGTTCCCGTTCGGACATCTTCGTTCCGATTCAGATCCCCTTTGTCTCCTTGTGCTTTTGCCCCCTCCATTATATATATCGGCGCTTGTACATACTCGTTTGGGGCTCAGTCCGAAATCAACCTGAAATGCCCCCTAGAGACTTCCTGCTTGCCTACTGTGAAATTAAGGACCAAATGGACAAACAGCAATGGCACAGCGCTCCGCTTGAGTCGCTGAGGCCAAGGTCCCTCCACACTAAGTCTCCAATTCCACTCTGGAGTCGTCTGTTTCCGCCTGTTTCTAACAGGGATCAAGCAACCACTGTAGCCCACAATCCATTCATTGCTGCTCGCTTCTTCCGACTGCTCATCAACGCCTTCATTCTTGCCATTCTGGGTCACACTGTCATATCCATTCCCGGCCATCAACTTCCGGTCCCTCCAATCCCTGTCGCCAAAGATTTCCACAATTTAGTAGAAAAGTGCCAGTCCCATAAGCACACCTGTTACGGGGATGGGGGAAATTCCCCATTCCTCGATCCGTTCTTATAGTGGGATGAGTGAGGTCATATCTGGTCTGTACCATAACTGGATATGTAATCGATGAATGATCCCAGTCTTGCCTGGGGGTGGACGATCGAATACCCATTGATCGCGATTGGTGATGTAGTGAGCTATTAAGGGATTGATGGTAGGTAGTCGGAGATGCCAGGACGGATGGGTCAGCCACGGGTACTTGGCACTCCTCAATGGAGCGTACCGTGTGTGAGGTCACGACTTGTGAGATGGGCGAGAACTTCGTATAGTTGCCATCGGGTACTTGGCGTTCGCAGTGCGAACATACCGGTAGCGGGTTGATGTCATAAGCGTGCAATGAGGACTGACTAGTAGGGCCTTCAGTGACTTGGCATTCCCAAAGGGAACGTACCGTTGGCGGTGTAGGAGAAATAATATTCAAAGAATAAAACAATGATCTATCAGAATAGTCAACGAACAGGTGACAAGTTCAGACGTTTAACAGATCTCATGATCTTTATGAGACTGGACAGACATTAGAAGATCATTATAAAATATCTACACCCATGTAGTATGAGATTTAATCTACTACAATCATGCCTAGAACTTGACATAGGTGTAATATTCAAAGAATATATCCCTACAACAAGAAAATAGCACATAGACGGCAGAATAAGAAGGAACATTGGGAAAGAAATGTGAATATCTCGGGAACCAGTAAACTTTTGACTGTAATCTTTTTACCATCTGGAAGGACTGTTTCTTAACTTTATCCACGGTTTTGTTTCATCCTAAAAGCTTCAAAACTGACGGAGATATCGCTCAAACGGCGAAACACCTTATAATTCATATATATTTATTTGCTAATTCTTACAAAAGGTAATGTGACTCAAGGGAAATATATTGGCGCCCGGAAGTCTGGCGGACCGAATACCATATGATAGAGTATTCCCCGGCGCGGGCGGACAGTTTTTGATCGCATCAGAAGAGGAGAAAATGCTAAAAAACCGGATCTTGTATATTTTCCCATGATTCATCAAAACTTTTTGATTTTAAGCCCAAATAAATCGGAACAAAGGAATGATTGATGATCTGGATCTCGGATCATAAGCATGAAGTGATTCAGAAGTCCGCGGATCAGTTAATTAATTGGGAAGGCTCTAGAACATTAGTAATGATGTGGCTTCACAAAAAGGGGTCAATTAGAGAACAGTCTAGAAAGTTCCTTTATAGCCGAGTCATTTCTAAAGATAACCGTTCGTAATTAAGGCGGTGTAGAGCATAGCTTCAGCGCTACAAGATCCCGCTGAGATCGGCCCAAAAGACAAAGAAATGAATTACTTATTGCTGAGTCATGTCCTAAGTCCATTATTAAGCTTACACAGCCCAACCCCCTATATCATTCTAGAACTATCTATAATACAAATGTAGCACATGTAACTAGTGCGAGGCGTGGGAGTAGAGAGGCCTCTGAAAAGCATAAAAGGCCACCGCTTCTGCCCCCTCTCAAACCTCAGGTAGAAATAAAAGTTTAATTCTCCTCACCAGTGGTTGGTTCGTTTGCTCCAAAAGATAAAAGCAAATATTAGTTGTTAGCTAATATAAAACTAACACGTCACTCTAAGCGTGAGTTAGGGTCAGTTAGACACAGCTGAACAAAAGTGTCATAGTGAGAATTAGTGAGAATTTGGTGGAGGGACTTCTTAATTGAATAATCTCTCAGCAATACTTGGTTATCACACCACAGGAGAAAAGTGAGCGATCCTGAACCTGCTAGATAACTAGCACGCACTCTAAGCGATAGAAAGGGCAGTTTGGTCACTCCTGTATTGAGTAACATTTATTGCGGAATTATTTTATTAGCAGTTTTCCTTCAGTAAATTATCAGGAAAATCACATCCTACTGAAAAGTGGTAAATATAGGTGTAATATTGACTAGAAATCATAGTAAAGTCAATATAGAATTTTATCCGTAGACGATCTATACATCAGGTGAGATCGTTGGGGGGTGTTTATTGTTGTTTAGACAGTGAACAATCATATATTTGGCAACCAAAACACGGTCAGTACGCAAATCAGCACAAACTCTAATATCGTTATTGGACGTAGGAAACTGGTTACATAAGGTGATCCAGCTCCGCTCCTTCAGCGGAGAAACATGATGACTGGCAAAGGAGGGAACAGATGGTGGATGGGCGGCGACTTGGCGTTCACGTAGCGAACGTGCCGGCATCACGGGAAGGTGGGCCTCAAAGTATTCACGATCTCCATGATCGTGAGGTGACGTCGTATGTTGAGTACTGGGGGGAGAGCGGAGTGATGAAGACCCATAGGGTACAGATTCAATAGGACGATACACATGTCGAGAGTCTTCGACTCTCGACCTCGAGTTCTCGCGGCAAGGGCCGTTAGAGGACTCGATATAACCAGACTTATAAGACATATTGAGAGTTGTACAGTCACACGGGTTCAGTTGAGTCACAGGGAGGGTTGTTACAGAAGACGGTACACGAGACAGTTGTAGAGCAGTTGTTAGTTAGCAGGAACCGCCTTCGGCGGTTTCCGTACAAGACGCGTGACTATCTACAAATGGTAAGGTCGCAGGAAATCCCGCGAAACACAAACAACCTCGGCCAGCACCAAAACCCCAATGGGGAAAGCTTTGCATGAGGGGGGGAAAGGGGTAGAACGGGTAAGGAGGATAGGGTATCGGGATAGAGGATGGAAGGGAGAAAGAGGGGAGGAGCGATAGAGAGGGGAAGTCTTTGACCATGTGACGGATATGGTCGTTGGAGACTCCGTATCCGTAACAACACCGCTATGTGTTACAAGCATGGGGATGGTGAATGTCAGTTTGGCCTGTCCTCAGATAATGAGATGGAAGTGACGACAATGGATATGAATACCGGGGAGATCCAGATGTGTGTCACAGATGGATTAATTAATAATTACTGTGAAACAATTTTAAAAGCTGTACGGTGTAACATGGACATCAAGTTCATTGGCTCAGGTGTGTCTGCTAAGGCTATTTTGTATTACATCACTGACTACATTACCAAAACTCCTCTGAAAACCAACGTAGCATATGCAGTGCTACAAGCTGCAGTGAAAAAAATGCGCGAGTCTGCAGACACAAACGGCACTCCCGTTGAGCGCGCCAAAACTACATTGGTGAAATGTGCCAACGCTTTGATTGCAAAACAAGAGCTCGCTGCTCCTCAAGTTGCTTCTTACCTGCTGGGTTTTGAGGATCGATACACTAGTCATCGTTTCCGATCCCTGTATTGGACCTCATTCACCTCTTACATTCAAAAGACAGATTCTACCATCTCTACCTCGTCTGATCAGCACCATGGTCCAATCGGTGCTCCTCCAGGTTCGGATGACCCACACATCATTGGCCATGATATGCACGATGAAGAGGTTGTATTAGAATCCAACATTGACACTGGTGCAATTCAGCACAGCTGCCACCAATTGATAGATTACCGGGCATGCGATTGCTCACCAGTCTTTGATGCAATGTGTGTATGGGACTTTGTGGCTTCGGTAGACAAATGCAGTATATGAAAATCGCTACACAGTGCGCAAAAGGGGGACGATTGGGAGGAAGAGGAAGACATTGTACCCGATCAACGTGTACCTCATTCAGCTCTCTCGTCACTGCATCCTCAGCGTACGACACATGAGTTGAGGAAAAGACGGTCTCGTTATGTACCAGTGCCAATTGGACCACCATTGCCTCGGAGAGATGATGTCTCAAAATATGAATTTTACTGCCTAACAATGCTCACACTATTTCCTCGACAGTGAACGGCTCACACAAAGCAAACAAAGGACGGACCAAACGGACATTCAGATGGCCCTCACTCAAGCAATGTGTGCAGGTCTCTTTCTGCCTTCTGATCCGAATACCTCCGCACGGGCTTGGAATGCAGTGCACATCGAACGTGGCACTGAGTGTGTCGCCAGCCTAATAGATGATCAGGGAGCCCAGGAACTCCAGTGGCAAGAGGATTACAAACAACGACGCTCCGCAACCAAACAAAGGCTAAAAGCTTCTACAACGCTTCCCAATGAGCCCGGTGGGCTGCACTCTGAATCGTCAACTCAAGCCATTCTCATAGATCATCAGACGTACGCCAGAGAACATGCAGAGATCATGGATGCTTATATTGTAAATCCATCGGCCAGCGCCACTCCCGACTCCGTACACGTGTTGGAGTCAGTGTCTCACGAGTTCTCTCTCAATCTGGAACAGGCTCATGCGTTTCGTCTCGTAGCTGAACACAACAGCCAAATGTCCACTGAGCCACTGTACATGTATTTAGGAGGGGCTGGAGGCACGGGAAAATCTCCAGTGATCAAAGCCTTAACTGTCTTCTTCCAGCGCATGGGTCAAGAACGCAAATTTCATCTATGCGCTTTCACAGGGGCTGCTGCCAGAAATATAAGTGGTTGCACGTTACACTCCAGTCTCAATCTCTCTCAATTGTCAGTGATGCAGAAGTCCAATGGTTCCCGCAGCTGGGGGGATCTTATTCATATGTGGTGTGGAGTGCAATACTTGTTTATTGACGAGGTCTCCATGATTGGATGTGAGTTATTGGCTGACATTAGCGCCGCCCTCTCTCTTGCGAAAGAGAATTCCGATGCTTATGGTGGCATCAACATAATCTTTGCGGGGGATTTTTGTCAACTACCTCCAGTGGGGGCGACGAGATTGTACACTGCGATCAAGATGGTGTCTTATCATGCTTCAGATGCACTTTCCGACCGAGGTCAGAAGAAACTCAAAGGAGCACAGTTATGGTCACTGGTAAACACAGTGGTCTTTTTGAAACAAGCAATGCATCAGGATGGACTCGAAAATGCTACGTTCCGTACCATTCTCGATAGATTAAGATTTGGTAATTGTACACTGAATGATATCGCGGTTTTGGAACGTCGCCTACTCATAAACAATCTCAACATCGATCTCACAAACAACGGTTGGGAAACTGCGCCCATCGTGACCGCATCCAACGTAGTGAAAGACGCATTGAATGACGCTGCCGTGAAAACATTTGCACAACGCCAACATCACGAACTGCATCCTTATTACGCAGTCCATCATCACCGAAAAGGTCGTATTCAAGATGCGGAGTTGGAAGAGAAATTGCGAGAGCTCACATCCGAAGCAAACACTGGATACACTTTAGGTCTTCTGTCCTTGGTGGGTGGCATGCCGGTCATTGTGGGTGAAAACTTCGATGTGGAAGGTGGCATTGTGAACGGCAGTCAAGGTCGATTAAAGCATGTACGATATAAGTGCGAGGATGGGGAGCATCGGATCGCTACCAGTGCAATTGTTTCAATTGCGGATTCCGCACCACAACCATTTGCAAATCTGCCGGCTCATGATTGTGTCATCCTGCCCAAATCAGTGGCAATCAAGGTGTCTCATCCCATGACTCATGCCACTATGTCTGTCAGACGTTCTCAGTTACCGTTATTACCCGCATTCGCCATTACTGACTACAAAGCACAAGGTCGAACTTTACCCAAAGTGATTATTGATCTAGAAAGTGCACGATCAATTCAATCCGCATATGTCATGATATCCCGCGCAACGGCGTTGGAAAACTTACTCATCCTGCGCCCTTTCAGTGCCAAAAGGGTGATGGGTCACATGTGCGGTGATCTCCGAGCGGAACTGTGTCGCCTCGAACAGTTGGAATGCGACACCATTGTACGAACGCCTTCTCAGACATTCAGGCATGCACAAGCAACATCATGGAAAGAAAAGCTCTTGCGGTCCCCAAACAATGCTTCGCTGGGTGCGTACTGAGGCTGTTCAGTCGGACTTTCCATCCTAACCTATACACAGAGCGAAAACGGAAATCCAACGGAGATGCTGACGTGAGTTCCACGCAGCGAAAGAAGCTCAAGTTGCAATGAACGGTCGCATTCGGAATTGTAAGTGTCAAGTGTTCCTCTGAATGCCGTATTCTCACATGCCATTTCACGCCCAGTGTCTCCTTCTCGTGAGTTCCACGTACCAAAAGAGGCTGAGGTAGCAATCAACGGTCTCTGTCAGCGGATGCCTCAATTGATCTGAAAGAGTCAAGTGTTCCTCTAAATGCAGTATTCTCACATGCCTTCTCACGCCCTGTGTGTCCTTCTCCATCTCACTCCACTCCCAATCGCCAACTGTGGACAATTCAACCCACGTTGATACAATATCGTAGCTTCGGAAGTGCGAATGGCCAGAGTTTGCGTGGTTCTTGGGTGGCTGTCAATGATCGAACGACTATCACTGATGTAGCTTTCGTTGGCATCATCACTTCGGCCGAGATGGGACCATATGGCAATCAGCATGCCGCGCCTTACTCTGCTTGGAGGGTGCAAGGGGTAAGTGTTCCTTAGCTCACGTTGACACCGATACTGATCTCAAAGATTAGCGTGCGAAAGTCAATTCCACTAAATATCAGCTACATCTTGGCATGCCGAACACTGCGCCTACGGCACTGAAGAAGGCATTTACTGACCAAATGCGCGGTTTAATTTGACTTAAAAACGCGAGTGGGTTGGGTCACCACACAGAAGGTGGGTGATTGGTCACTGGAGACAGCGTACTTCAACTCACAGATGGAACTCAGAGGACGTAATTGAAATCGTTGATAAAGAATATGGATGGGTCTATTTGAGCGAGTCCAACGCACCGTATATTAGGATTCAACACGCTATGTTTCATGAGAATCGCGTGCCCGGTGCCCATGCTACCAAGCGGGTGAACGTCAACGACACTTTAGAAAGTAGGTCCCATTAGCATCCGCAGCATCATTGACGGCTGACAAAGTACGTGGCACGAGGGTAGGTGGAGGCTCGGAGCACAATGCTACAGCGGCCACATCCCAACCCGCCACACCTTCAATTTATTCCCACCCGGAATGGGATCCTGAATCCCACTTTCGTCGAGCATTACCCTCCGCGGCCGTGCAGAGGGACTTTCAGTATTGGATGGACATCCATGCATATGATGAGAATGGGAATGTCATTACGCACAATGATCTGGAGCTTCTGTTTAGGGTGGGCGTCGCTGTAGTCGGGACTGCCACGTTGCATTTGTAAGTCACAAATTCGTCACATTCCACTCCAGTCTGAATCTCTCCCAATGCTGAGCACGCGCGCATGAAATACCACTCGCGGCGAGATCCGAAGCTTCCAGATGCATTGGAACGCTCTGCAAATTTTAGGATCCTCTCAACTCCTGGAGGACGACAACAGCGCTCAGTCCGTTGCCGGAAAGAAACATGCGCGCGATGACGAGTTGCGCCCGCCTTCTCCCAAACGAGGCCCGTTTTTCAAACGCGAGGAGGACATGACTAGTAAGCCGGAGAAATGAAAATTGGAGGGCTTGAATGGAACGAGAATAGCTGTAAAGGAAGGTGACAACCTTCTCTCTGTTTCCGTATCGGTTTCGTGTCATTGGTTTCTGCAAAGTCCCATTCAGCGTCTGTTGGTACTGCAATAGCTAACGAAGGAAAATTGCAATTAGTCCTCAGCCAGCGCGGAATTCTTCACTTAATAAAACCACAGGTCACAACCTGCCACGGAATGACCAAAGCCAGGATTAGCACGTGAACTGGCTCACGTAGTGTATGATATTATCCACACTGCTTCCGATCACAGACCAGGCTAGAATCTCCAACTTCGGAGGGACTCCACACACCAGGGGTCATCCGGGACAGAGTGGGATTGGAAATGGTATGGTAACCAAACACTGGGTCTTCCTACCCAAGATTTCGGAGCTATGTGGCACTGCACAAAGGTGGTTGACTAAGACGACTGACCCCCAATGAAGGTATAAATGCAAATGGTCATTCACGGCCACAAGGGGGGACTAACGAGAATGGGGTTGGATCAATTAACATACCACGGCGTTCCACTGCCTTCTAACTCTCCCAGTCACCAGCCAGTTCTACCCGACTGCGTGATATTACACCAACAACGTGGTTCAGTCCATGTCTTAGTATGGGGATCGGTGCGTGATGACGTTGGACACATCGCTGCTATAGAGGTGACAGCTTCAAACAGAATTTTGAGGTGAACAAAGCATGGTTGGGATTCATTGAGCATGAGGAGAATGGGGTTCCCCATGTTCATGTGTGCCTGCAAGTGAGCCCGCATCACAATAAGTGTTCGATGGCGTTCACAATGTCGATTAGCGCGCAAGCCCAATGGCTTTCGCTACAGAAATCCACGCGCCCGATGCTGCGATGCGCATTACGTTCCATTTCGCACACTTTCAGATCGGGACTCCGACGTTCACGGTGTGTATCCAAGCCAAGAATGTGGACGCTGGGCTCTGATCAACCTTCGAATCAAATAGATAGCACCCCATTGTTTTCTTTTGAATCAAATGTAGTTCGAAAGTATGTACACATAGCGAGGCAGCGTGATGTACGAAAAGGAAATGTAATCAATGGGGAAAGTGCAGAATGATCAAAAATGGAGGCGGAATGAGTAGCGGGTACTTGCCGCGCCAGGCGGCGTCCACCAGTTATTTAAATTAAATTAAATTTGACAGGGGAACCCAGCACTATCGAGCTAGTTCATCCTCAAATAAAATCTCTGAGGTGGAATGTCCCTCTACCACACACCTCACCAGTCATCTTCATCGTTTCGAGTTGATGCCTCCACGCTGTTTTATCTGCCGGCTAAGAGGAAAGGTATGTCCTCGATTCCAATGAGCATTTAACCACCAGCCCCAAACTCCCTTTCAAACTTGCACTGTCATTCCTGGTCCTCCTTTCGCTGCACGATTGGAGAGCTCAGCCCGGAAATGGAAGCAGTGCGACATTCTTTCATGCATCGTGCCTATGCTGTTAATCGCAAGGGTGCTGGGCAGTAGGCAGGATCCCAGCTGGGCAGGTCACCAGGTTTAGACCGCTCACATGTCACCATGTCACATAATGTGACATTAACGACATACCCATCTTCTTCAAGTCATGACACGAAGGAGAGACTCACTTTGCTTTTAGGGATGCGTCGAGTCCCCAAATTCGCAATCCTGTGATCGATGCAGCAGGATGCGGATTGAGTGCATTGCCTGCCCGATGACAATTTCCAGTGAGGTCAAGGTATGCCTTCCCCTATCGTGCTGGTAGACTCTCTCGATAAAGGGAATGATTTATAGAGATCGGTTAGGGCCCGAGAGTGTTTGTGTGAGGCTCAAAGGCTGGCTCGTGCATGGATCGGTAAGTGTACGCTTCCTCAAGACCTCTCGTTCTACATCCTGATTGTACTTATCTGTCTCCGTATGTAGCACGTCTTCCAAGGTCTCGCAGGTTTCTTCTAGAACTGCAATCGGTCCTCGAAGGTTCGACGGGTCAGAGCGCAGCTCATGAAGGAGCTACCGCTTCCCTGCCGATGACGACTCCACTCCAAGTGCCTCATATGCAAGAGAGCCACGCGCCCACTGGCTTCCCCGATGGTTCACTATCTACTACAGCCTTTCCGGTGAACTATATTGGTATTCCGTCAGCTGTTAATGAGCCTCCTTATGTATTTCCCATGGGGACATCTGCACTCAATGAACTGGATCCCCAAACCCAAACCCAGTTCCATCCTATCCAAAGTTTTTGGGAAGAACCCGCTTCCACTGTCTCTACCCTGCGAGTCATGGTGCCACCCTTCTCCCTATTCAATCCTAGTCCCAAAATGACACACCATTTCGAGAATTTGGGCTCTGTGTCTTCGGACACTTTCCACCACACCGCGATCCCTGAGCAGCTCGCCGGGCCCTCCAGATCCGGTCCCTCTCGCATCGTTGATCCTGTGCCGATCGAAGCCACGCTCGAAACCCCTGATCGTCCACGGGATGGATGGATGAAGACAAACTCGAATGAGGACGTTGTTTACTGGCTTCGAGGCCTGGCTCAGAGGCTGGGATATCACCTTGTTCCTATCTGAGTTGGTGTGGCTAGCGGTGGTTCTTCTGGATCGAGAGAAGTGTTGTACGTGTAAGTTGATTCCGCGTGTTTGATCTACCAACCAACTTTGAATGCTCGGAATTGCTGTTACGGCTCAGTTGCTCCGTGGTATGTGACTGCTTGGATTATTACTAGAGGTCTTCCGGCTCGTTTTGTCTTGCTTTTCTCGTGCCATGTGTAGAGTCGGTGATCTCTCCTTGTTCCGTTGACACGCGGTTCATTTGTTTCCAATACATCTTGTGTTGCTTGAACCCAACAGTTTCTTCTAGTCTAGGCTCAGAGGGAAAGGGGGAGGTGTTACAGAGGGCAATAATAATGCGGCGGCTGCATCGGAGTTGGATGATCGAAACGGAACAACAGTTGTGGTGAGAGAACTGACTTGGGGAGTGTGTGAATGAGATTCACAGATGGCAATAGGCCGATACGTCCATTTGAATGACTGAGACCCATAAAATTGGAGCAATAGCTCTGGACAGAGCGAATGAGGCGGCGGCGCAGTTCACTGTGGGAAGTCCCCCCATCAGATCGTACCGGGGTGCACCATCACTTAATCAGAAATGCTGGGACTCCCTATCAGCTTTTTTCAGCTGTTAAGTCGTGTGTAGTACCGGGGCTACCTAGCATCTGTATTCCGATTTACATATTGATACCAAAACACATTAACTGAGAGGATTCTAATATCATATCGCTGAGTTCCACGTTGTCCTTTTTCAAGTCCATCCTAGCATTATCCGCTGCATGAAGTTCCCCGTCAGATTGTACTGGGTTCTACCATCATTAAATTAGAAATACCGGGAGTCCCTATCGTCCTCTTTAAAGCCCGTTCCAGCGTTATCTGTGCTCTGATCCAACAATAGCGCACAGGTCATTTTCTTGAAAGTAACCACATCCTTTCCATCAATTTTGCGATCATCTCGGATGACGGGCGCGAAATCCGTTGCAGCGTAGTTGGAGAAGGCATTTCCTATTGGCAAGAATTTCATTCAGTTATAACGTCTTTTTGAGTAGCCGAAATAGACCAGAATTTGCGCACATAAAACATCTTGCAAGCGATTTGGGTGGAGATTCAGCATAGAAGAGAAGCACCCTTTTCTCAAGCTCATCATGACCCATACAGAAAGATGACTAACAGCACCTGTCCATGTGTGCATTCCCACCAGATGGCATTTTTGTCCGAATTTGGTGATTTAGGCGGGTAGCGAGGGTAAGATTCTTGCTTTCCCTTCATCATTGTAAGAGCGCGCGTCTAAGATCGAGCTTGTTGTAAATGGCAGTAAACAAAGCAAAATAACGCATCGATCCTCCATTGTCACTCAAACCGATGGCTTCATCTTTAAATGCGATCGACAGCGGTGACGGGATTTTCAGCGAAGTTGGGCTGGAGAAGGTGTAACCATATTAAAGGTAATGTAACACGTTTTCTGCAATCCCAATCCCTTCACCGCCATGATAAAACGCGTCTAATATCTTGCATCCCCAGTATGTATGAAAACGGTCATACATGCTCACAATCACCCTTGTATGATTGGAAACAGATATGTCGTCGTTTACGGGCCCAACTAATTACAAATAAAAGCTGTGAGATCGCGTTATTAAGATGCCAAATTGGGGGGTTGAAAGAGCAGCTCTTTGGCTGTTGCAGTTCTCAGGGGGCAGTGGGAGTATGTAATAATGCATATAGGAGTACGTGCTTTACACCGCTTCAGCCATTTTGTCGTTCCTGACGCCCACAGAACATCGCAAATCCCAATACCTGATCAGTGAGTTCTCCCCCTGTTGACCTACCTTTCTGGACCCGGAATTCTAGGCCATCTCTTCGCGCCGAAGAACCTTGATGAGGACAGAAAAGCTATACATTGGTCCAAGAAAGTGAGTATCTGCATTGATAAGGATGTGCGCGCTCAATTGGACAACACAAATTTTAGCTCTACCTATAGATTTAGTTCTGACTCGTTCCCTTTGCAGGCACCAAAAAGCTGATATATTATCACTGGTGAGCATATAGACACTTTACACATACTCGCAGAGTAACTCCCCTGTGCTACAGCCCGAACATCCCTCCTTTCGCTGCTAGGCAGGACTCCAGCCTCTATGGTGTATATCGGTGCAACCTAAGTCAAGATCGTTTGCACCTTCTCGTCGGCTCATACACTTTTAGTTGCGCACTTGCATTAAGTATACCAGCCTTGCCTCAAGGTCACCGCTCATGTCTGCACAACCTTTGTTTGCTGCTCCGACCTTTCCGATGGCAAATGCTATCATTATCCTGTGTATCCATGTATAATATAATGCCAAATGAATCTATTATGGCTTATTATTAAACAGCTGGGGTCCCCTATCGATACCTTCCGGGGCACCCCATCAGGATGGCCCCGTCAGACTGCGCATATCTGATAGGAGGTCCCGGCACTCGAAGTCTGATGGTCGGCCCCGTCAACTAGTAACGGGGCTACCTAGCAAGGTTGGTACCGGGTCAACCCATTACCATTTGCTGGGGTTACTTCCCATTGTGAGTTAGTACCGGCGCCAAATTCGGGTTGGACACCGGAAACACTCCAATGAAATGTATTCGAGGAAAAAGACAATGGTATGCCAAATGTTCTCGGATCTGCAAGAAAGTTGTTACCTCCATTACATACGGGGACAGACTCCAGTCTCTTGGTTGCCATAATACTGTAGCGCCAACTGTTGATGAACTTCATAACCTTTGAACGTTCGTCACGCATAGTCGTATGAATTGGCAGATGACCGATCGATTGCTCATCTGCGCTTGTCATGACCTTTCCCACACTTGCCCGAACTTGAATCGGCGCCAAGGTATCAAGACTGGGTGGATCGAGCTCCCAGTAATGTCGACTTCAGTACCATTCGAGTTACACGGTACCCGCCATCCGATATTCATATCGCAAGAATCGCCATCACGAATCGATTCAAGAACGAATCAGACATAGGATGGCCAATAAACATCGAAGACAAGCTCCATTCAAAGTCGGAAACTCAGTATACATATCACCCAACGGAAACTCTTATCCTAGGTAAAATGGGTCGCGAGAATTGTCCCCCCTAATTTATTTAGCCATTGCGAATAGTCAGACAGGCTTCACCGAATTTTTCAGAGGAACTCAAAAGACGAAGTATCCACCCACCGGGTATCTTCACTCCAACCTGCTGAGGCCTCATATCCCTAATGACGACATCCTGTTGTATACAAGGCCCTTCTGTAGCTATTGGTCACGAAGGTTGAAAACGCGCAAAGCGTTAAAGGTGCCACTCATGAATCAAACGATCCATTAAGTTTAATCACGTGGAACTGCGGTTTGCGCAGCGGCGGCGGCGTTCGATTCGTGCCGTTGCCCATTCTTCGGGTGGCAACCGGATCCGAATTGGGAAGGAACTCGCCCACAGATTAGAAGATAGGCCGCGGGGCTCCAGGTATTGGAATATCAACAACAACCATGGCGATCCAGTGGCATTCGTTTCCCCTTCCTCCTGGTTCGGCGGCCTCGCCAGTGAGTGCTGGCTCCGTATAACGAGAAGATTTTTTTGAACTTGAGAGCTGCCTCTTCCATCTACAAAAACATTGACATCTTTGTATTATGTAGTTGTGTCGCAGCTTTACGCGAAACATATGAAGTAAATGTAATTGTCATCAAATCTCTCCCGCGAGACTGAGTACACGACATAACCTTTACATTTTTCAAGCAGCGTTCAACAGATAGATAGCACAAAGTGGTTAGCTTCGGTATGCCTGCATCACTACGGACTGTAGGTCAGGCATAAGGTTTTCCCAGTGTGAACTCTGTAATAAGCTCTGAACGTAAATCTGATGATGTGCATTCGACGAATACAACCCTGGTTTGATGAGAACCCATGCAATGTCAACGTGTGGTTGTTTATGGAACTAACCGAATACGGTGATTGAACACTGACGTGCTGATCCCGCGGCGGCAAACATACGTTGATTCAGGGATTCTGCGATAGCAATCACGAAATGTTGGAAAGGTTCTTACCACATACTGATTTAAGGTGGGCGAGCCTGCGGTTCTCCAGCCTTGTAGTTTATCAACTTACCCCAATCACGCACCCCTTCCCTCTTCGATGCCGCCGCACTGTTTTGTTTGCAGACTGAGGGGAAAGGTGTGTCCTTCTGCGGCATCTAAATTTTCCAGATTTGCATGATCTACACTCTGTGATATTCGGTCAATGATCTTTCCGGGGATGCGACGACTTCACTTGATCCTTCGCTTTAGAAGCTGCTGAGCACCTGCACACAAATTCTGAATTTTCTTGTTGTGGGTGGTATTCCGGGACGAGCCCAGGGGCCGACTCCCTCCTTATCTTTATCTTTTAATTGTTCGAATGACCTTTTTCTACCTTACTGACTCTGAGTATCCCTCTAGGGATGTGTTCAATCTCCAAATCGTCAAGGCTGCGATGCATGTGAAGGGATGCGAATCGAATGTATGTCCTGTCCGATCAGGATGGTAAAAGTAGGTTTCGTGGCTCATCTCATGTACGAAGGCCTGAAAGCCTTGTAGGGATCGTCCAGAGCTCAGGAGTGCCTGCAGGAGGTCAGAACACTAGCTTCCAGTCTAGCTGGACGTACTGGAATCAGTATGCCGTTCATTCCTGCATCTTTCATACCTCATCTGATACCATAATGTAATTCCGATTTTCCCTCCCGATTCCACAGCGCTTCTTCCAGTAACTCGTCAGTTCCTCTCAGATTTGCAGTTGGTATTTGGGAGTGCCATATGTCGCGATCCAGCAACCCTTGCACCGTCCACCATTGCCTCGTCGCTAAAACCACCAAATAACTCCTATGGGTGGCCGAGTGGAGGAGAGGGCCCTCTGCCCAACGATACATCTTCCTTTAGGGTTCGGTCCGTCCAAGACTCCCCGGCCACTCATCATATCCATTCAGCTCCTCTCCCCTCGCCTGGGTATGCTAGTAATGGCATCAGCGAATGGTCCATCTTGAGTGTTGGGCCTCTCGCGCATCCACCACATGTGCCCAGTCTCGGCACTAGCTCCTTCACTAGCACTGACTCTGCCTTCCGCCCCTCCGCATCTTCGTCACCACAAGTGACTCCTAACCCAGGAATACCATTCAACAGCGAACAATGGACCCCCACAACACTGGGCACCTCACACGTTGACTATGACCTTCCTGGACCTTCTCATTTACCTCCCTACCCGCGATCAAATGCATTTATGGCCGAAGCCAACCAGGGGCTCCTGGAAGAGTATTCGGACTCAGGCTCGGATGCTGTTATTTGGCTTAGAGGCTTGGCTCGAAGTATGGGATACCGCCTTGTCCCTCTCTGAGCTGCCCTTTCGCACCACCCCCTCGGTCTGATGGTTTTTGTTCTGCGGCTTTGTCTACCTTGATTTAGCGGGACTCATCGAATGATCATAAAGATATAGTTTGTGTATCGCCATCTGTGCCGTCATTTGATGCCTCTGGTATTTGCTTGACATTTGTACGTATCTTCGAGTTCCTGTATATCTTGTGTCGGTGTTCGTTTTGTTACCCTGAGGTAATGTATTTGTGAATATATCCCACCTCATTACTTGGTCTCGATGTCGTTATTACCTGGCTTGATATTCACCTGTGACGTGATGCTTTTGGAGGCGGCCGTCCATGTCACTCTGGCAATCCCACGGATGTCAAAGCGAACCCTCCCCCAACATTCACTTTCTCTGGGTTGTGTCTCATTGGAGGTTTTTCATGAGGAATATCTCTGTTGTCGCTTTAATTTGCACATGCTGTTGAGTAGCAAGTCATGATGCCGTCCGACGCCCCAGCAACTACTCACACACTTATGCAGATGCGCAGCATCGACCCGCTCGTAGCCCAACCTCACTGCCTCAGCATCGCACGAGTACGCGCCGTACAGCAAAACATGGCCTCCGTATCCATGTAGTGAGTTACCAGCGAAAAACCCCCAAGGTTTCTTTTTTGCATTTTGATATCAGCAGTTCCGCACTTCGTACACGCGCATGGCACTGTATTCCAGCTATCTAGTCTCGGAGTTTCTTGTCGAATTGTAAGGCCGTCCAGGGGTGTCACCAGAAGGCGTCATGGGGGCGTCCCGATCATTCACACTTGAGTATATAACAAGTGTTGATGCGCGGCACCCAGTTTGCCGCACTGGCGACCCTCAGAGCCTTCAGCCTCAGAAACAAGGAATCTGCCTCATGCAGTTTCGCTCGTACAACACATCTTAGAAGCAGCCCCATTAGGGTCAACGAGTCAATGCACATGTCACAAGTCCATTATCGGCATTCTACGAGCTGGTGTGTATTACGATGTTGAAAGGACTTATGAGTTGACCTATTCATGAGGAGGCAGAGGCAGCGCTCATGCATCTCTCACGGTCATAGTGGTCTCTCCTCCATAGACCGTTCGTCGTCTGAGTAACTCTGGGGCGCTGACCTGTAGCAAGTTCCATAGGCAATTTCTACCCATAGCTAATCTAAAATACACAGCTCAGCTTGGGCTGGTATTCAGTCAGCAGCGGCTAGGGAAGCGTAGACATAGGTGCTGTTAATGAGATCGGGGCAAAGCGCGACATCAGGCAACTCATATCCTAGAAAGGGAGAATAATTGGAGAGCGCATGGCTGCACGAATGAAGCAAGGTCTGAAGCGTGCGCATAAGTTACCTGCCCCTGTCACCCCAGTGTAGTGGTAAGACATACTAGCCAAATTTGAGCGAGTACGGTGGTAGAAGCGGGAGAGAGGAACCCCTAGCCTGGTCAATGAGCAACCCCTGGAGTATAAAAACCTAGTCGTAAACAATGCAATGAGTTGTGTGATGGCCCGTTGCGTTGGCCTCTGCCATTTATGTAATCGGCAAGCTCCGCCGTGCCCTCCCAATGATCCAGTGTTGGGCAGACATGGTCCCAAATGGTCGCATGGTCCGAAGTCCGAAGGTCTGATTCAGTAGACAACGTCTTTCCCGTACTCTCATGTTTATAACCTTACTATGGAGCACGTCTGGTCTACGCATCGTCGCTCGGGAAATTATGAGTAGTATGAATGGCTTACCTGACATTCTCTTCGATGTGTTCAGCTTCAAATCATTGGTCCTGTGATCCATGCCAGAGGAGCGTATCAGATGTTTGTCTTGTCTACATTTTGGCCATTGCGATGATGGACCGCCTGTTGCAGTACGATAGACCTGCCTCCTATTGTGTAAGGGATTAACCTTACTTCACTATAATTCCGATTATAGTGATATTTATATTATGTTGCATCGCTATAATTCCCATTATAGTGATGTGGTTATTTCTTTATTTATTTGTGCCGAGATATGTAATTTACATATATATACCTCGGAGTAGTTGTAAAGGCCTGGTAGCCTTTTACCTCTACCCCGTTGAATATACAGCTCATTAAAGCTTATGTTTAGATGGACCTACTGAGGCCTGAGGCGAACGGGGGAACGGAACGTTATTATCCCCAAAATAGTAAGCAACCTTACACTTTTTTAAGCTAGTTTCCTTTTACAATCTCGGCACCGCGACTGGTGACGGAACCCTGCTGTGTCCCACATGCGTTGTCTACCCTGACAACGCGCATCATTGATCACGCACGCGTTGTCTAGCCTGACAACGTGCATTTGCGCCTAGTTCTCACGTGCAAATCGTGCGTGCACCATTCCTAGACACACACTCACCTAGGCTGTGCCTCAGAGTAGAGGCAACCCCTCCCAATCTCAGGATCTGGGAAGCTACCATGACACCGGTGCCAGAACCCCATTTGGCAACCCATGCATCATTGTCCCTGACGACGTGCACATTCAATCAAGGTTCATACCGGAACCTTTGATCTCACTTCCTGATGCTCACAACCAGGAAGTTCCGGACTCGCACCCGCACAGCTGGCCCTCCCTCCAGTCCCATGGTGGGAGTCAACACCACTCCATCTGGAAGTGGTGATCTGGGCCCGTGAGGGCCCAGCAACGCATCTCATACACGTTGTACCATCTCAGGAGATGCTGAACCTGTTGCAGCATCTCAATCTCACTTGGTGTCTGTCCTACTGCCACCCTCGCGTTCACCATCACGGGCCCGCTCTCCCTACTTTAAGAGCACACAAGTACTATATGGACGCATCAACAAAGTTAGAACCGTGGACAAAAACGCGAGTTGACCCACCTGTGGCCACTCAGGCCCGACTTCCCTCCCCACTCACTTGCACACTAGAAAAGCATACTGAGACTTCCCTTCCGCCCAGTTTGGGATGGAATAACCATTCCTCTAATGCTGTAGAGTGTGACCACACCAAGCCACCCAGCGCTTCGCTGTGTGGAAGTCTCATTGACTCTCTTGCCCCAGTGGGGGCCGGGTGTCGATCTAGCGACATTGTGAGGGCCCAAGCGACTTGTTTACCATCTGTTTTAGATGGGATCGGCAGTGCTTCAGCTGCTGCCAAGTGCCAGCTCATAGAGCTGCCCAGCGCTTTGGCAATTCCTGGGTTTGACAACCCAGATACTCCTTACACACTCCCAACCCCCTACTCATCCTGATCTGAGGGAGGGTGGATTCGAGGGGCCTCAGAGGCCCTCTTCACGCCAAGAGGAGCGTTTTTCCTGGCACTTTTGAGTGCCAGGTCACCAGGATGCTCCGGACCACGGACCTGGTGGTTCATAATTCCCTACCCCTTCCATGGAAAGGAGGCCAACCCTTCCTAAGGAAAGGGTTCTCATCTATCGTGGTTATAGATGGAATCGGCAGCACTTCAGCTGCTGCCAAGTGCCAGCTCATAGAGCTGCCCAGCGCTTTGGAAATTCCTGGGTTTGACAACCCAGCAGCACCTACTCCCTCCACTCTGCAGGAAGTCGAATCCGAACCGCCTCCTTGGCCCTCTGCAGGCCAAGAGGGATGCTTTCCTGGCGCTGTTAAGTGCCAGGTCACCAAGATGCGCGATGCTGTTCCACATCGTGATTTTGGTGATTCATTATTCTCCACCCCTTCTGCGGAAGGGAGACCAACCCTTTCTAAGGAAAGGGTTCTCATCTATCGTTCACTGCATAGTGAACGATATGTTCTGCCCACAGACACTCCACTTCTGGGAATGTCTGTGTGTTCCCGGCATTAGTGGGTGCCGGGTCCCCAAAATGCGCGGTGCTTCTTTGTACCGCGCTCATTTCTCTGTTACTTTTCCATCTGGAAAAGGGTTCTCTTCTGTCGTTCACTGCATGGTGAACGATCTGTCTTGCCAACAGACACTCCACCTCCAAGGGAAGGTCTGTGTTTTCCTGGCGCTGTTGAGTGCCAGGTCATCAAAATGCGCGGTGCCTCTCTGCACCGCGCTCATTTCCTTATTGCCTTCCCATCTGGAAGGCTGGCCCTTTCTAAGGAAAGGGATTCTCTCTATTGTTCACTTCATAGTGAACAAGCTGTCCCACCGACGGACAAGCTGCCCCCAACAAAAAACCCGTGTCTGAATGATCAGACATGCTCAGTCCTGCCCAGTTCATGGGCTGCGCTTCCATTCTGTCACTGTCAGGGACTCGTCCAGGGTCGAGGGGGTCCGGGTATAGCGTCCGGGACCGAGAGCCTGGCGGGGGGCGGATCGGGCGTGCATACTGACAGGCCCAATATGGGACAGTAGTCCCTGGCCACTTAGACTGAAGTGGAAAGTTGTTATTATTATTAAAGGAGAAATATTGTACTACTTACCTGAAGTGGAAAGTTGAGAAGAAGGCTACTTCTTCGGTTCCCACTTCAGGTTCATTTATATACATGCGGCTTGGATCACATGACGGATGCCACGTCACCCTCGCACACAGCCGTAACCACCCGGGTGTCTCCGTGGGAGATACCGAGGGTATCCGGTGCAGGCGCGCATGCTGGGCACAGCGGGAAGTCGCCTGAGGTGCCCGGGCCGGGTGCATGGTGGGCGCGCTGCAGATGGGTCAGTTGTACATTGATACAGAGAAAGTCGTCCATGTAGAATAAAGGGAGAATAAAGGAGAAGTAAGATAAGGAGAAACTGAGGAGGGGAGGATGAGGGGGGAAGAAGGGAAAGGGGGAGGAGGTAAGGAAGGGTGGACCGGTGGGGTACCAGGTCAGGTTGGGCTGGGTGGAGCCGGGTCAGGCGGGTGTGCCCTGACAGTCACTCATATGGACAGAATGACCTCTCTACTCCCCTAGATGACTATCTAGGGAGGAGAAGATCACTGCTCAGAACTCCGGCCCACATTCAAGTGTGGCAGAAATTTTTTCTTATTTTTTTAACCTAGATTCCTAGGTTGAATTTTCAACTACTCCCCCAGACAACTGTCTAGGGAGGAGAAACAAACCCGTGCCACTCTTTAGTGGTTATCTTTGTGGGTCAGCATCGCGCTGACTCATATCAAACTATTATTTTACTCCCAGACAACACTCTAGGGAGGAGTGGCCTCAGTGACCTTTGGAATCACTGGCCATCACC